AATTATTATTTTATTATTAAGAACCACAATTACATTCTGAAATTCTAAAACAATACATGTAAAGTTTCTAAAAAATTTTACATGTATTGTTTTAGAAGAAAGTGATATATATATATATATGTTTCATGACAAAATAGCCTATAATAAATGAGTTTTATTTTTTTGTTTGTGTTGCTATACATACGAGGCATTAATTCATATGTATAGCTTAAGTATACATAATTCACATAAAATCTACATTTTTATTACACTTTGATATTAATATTTTTTTGTAGCTGTTTTTCAGTGTAAATTTTTATTTAATTTTGCATGTTGGAAACGGATTGACAATTTCGTAAAGAGAAATATTTTTATACTCGCATCGAGCGAGATGATTAAATGAGAACACTTGTAAGACTTTAATACTGTTGTATCTAATATAATGTAACAAAGGACACATCACATCACATTGCATTGAGTGATACATTTTATAAGGCGTTACATTCATTGTCACTTTATCATATTTAATATATCTGTAGTCTGTACGGTCATGAAACCGGTGATTCAGATCCAATGTTTCGCATACGATTTATTGTTAACGATTAAATTAATAGCTATGGCATTATCACGAAATTTGTAATAATTATATTACTGATTTATATATGTATATTTTATATTAATTTGTTTCATATTCGTATGAAAATTTATTATCGTCGTCTTTGCTGTCATTATCGTCATCATCGTTCTCATTGTATTTTATAAGTGTAAGAGAGACAAGTTTTCGCTACGACAAATGTAATAATATTAACAGATGATTCTCTTACTTACATCAGGGAGAATTAGCAAAGATCAAGAAAATTGTATAATAATATTATATAAAAAAATACGATGTGTACATATAAACTAGTTGCGTAGACAAAGGGTATATACATATATGTATAATATATATATGTATTGTGTGTGTGTATGTATATATATATGTGTGTGTGCGTGTGTATGTATATATACACACCACACAAATTGAGTACATATTGAAAATAGCCGTCATGTCTCCCCACAACATAGAGAATACGATAAATTAGATATAATCATTTTTAAATAGTAACTATGTATTCAGAGATGAAGTTATTGAGCGTAAAAAAAAAATGATTCTTTGTACATACATAGTGCATAGTAACAAATGTAAAAAAAAAAAGACTATCTCCGAGAACATTTTATTTAGAAGCTTAAATCATGTTTTTAAAAAAAGAATAAAAAGAATGACAAGTTCACACTTCAGAAGAAAAGTATCGTAAAGCCTAATTTTCTTTTTTGTGAGACTTTTTCGAGACCGTTTTGATACTCCTTGGCATCAAGGGTGGTCTTTATGTAAAACGGAGGGATATAGCCAAAAAATACCGCTTAGATGTAATAAAAGAGATATTGAAATGTAAACCAAACGCTTATATTCTACAATTGTGTATGAAAGGGAAACAAAAAATTTTATCGTAGAAGGAGTAACTGTAATATTATATATATATATACATACATATTATATATATATCTGTCGTTTTTGTCGCGCGCACGGCCTTGCATACACGGAGTTTGCGTCCCTGTGTACAGTAGAATTTTTGTAGTATATCCGTAATATAGCGTTGTGTACATTGTTACTTAGGCTCGTTTTGTGGATAAGTAAAAGATCTAAGGGCAATTACTGCATCACCGAGATATTGTAGAAAGATTCTTTAGGAACTTCTCTCTCTTCATGCATCTTTCGTTTCGTACGCAGAGTCGTGCGCGCCATAGCGCTGAAGCATGCATCTTTATCGCGTTTATTATTATTATTTTGACGATTTGTATAAATGTGACAAATTTGCGACTTGTAAATTGCACGAGTAAGAGGCGTAGGTGTGAGGCGTCGAGACGAAACTGCGTGAAGCACAGTGAAACCTGAATATCACGATGCCTAAGTAATTTGTATAAAAAAGAAAGAAAAAAAGAAAAGACGAATCTGTAAAGTAAAACGAGAAACTCATGTATGTGGACATGAGAAAAAAATAAAACGTCACAGCGACAGCCGCTGTTTGGATTGGCAGCAGCAACGGAAGCATCATCGTTATCGTTAGAGCGAGAACGAGATTGGGTATCTCTATTCCTGATCTTCGTACGTATACTTTAAGTCTAATTTGTTTTTTAGCGTTTACTTTTTTCTTTTTCCTCCTTAGCTTCTTCCTTCGCTCCACTGTAGCTCTCTTTCTCTGTTCTTGTTTCTAGCTTTCGTCTGTCTTGTCATATTCTTCTTCTTCTTCTTCTTCTTTCTTAAATCGGATAGATATAATTCTTTTTTTTGTGACCTGGTTTAATGTGTAATAATTATTAAGAAAGATATTGGTTAAAAAAACTCTATTTAATAATACAGAATGGTAAAAAAAAATCGGCGAATTGTATTTGAAGATCAATACAATTAATACGATTAAGAGAGAAAAAATATACATCTTTGTGTAATATAAATATAATAAATAATAAAACACGATATGTGCGCGCGTGCGCGTGCGTGTCAGCTACTGTAGATGAAGCTCTCCTAATCATAATCCCGACCGCTGCTGTACCATTCGTAATAACGAGAGGATTGTTTGTGGCAAGAAGAAGGATAATTCGCAAAAAAACGTTAATAATGTAAATTCTTTTATTGTAAATCAACAGAATACATGTGATTCTCATGGGCCCTGCGCGTAATTTGTGGTAATTTAAAAAATTTGACGTATACTACGTTCTCTCATCAATACTTTTCGGTTCTGGTTTAGGTGTTTCTTGCGTTTTCTAATTGAATGAGACTTCGAGAGAGTCGCTGCTTTATAGATTTCGAATTTAGGTGACTATAGAACGCATTTGGATGGTACATACGCGTTTTTTATGATTGCAAAAAGCGAATTAAAAGTTATCGTGATTATTTCGTCAAGTATCAGACATACAGGTTTTTAAAATAAGAATTCAGACACCGTTCCAACTAATGTAGATTATATCTTAGGTCTCGTGCGCAAATGCACGATTACAATTAGTTTTTTATCCAAACGAGACCCATTCACATAATGATCGAACTTCACTTTGGTAAGTTTGTTTAATCTACAAATTAACTTTAATCAATTTAACTTTTTATATTTTTTAATCCTATACTGAGAAAAAAAAGTAATAAATTTTAATAAAAAAAAAATATTTGTTTGAATAATAATGTAACTTAACATCTACTTATGATAAGTAAATATACTAAATAATAGAGAGAGAGAGAGAGAGAGCTAAGTCAAATTACTGATTTTTGTACCAAAACGATATATATGTTTACATTTAGTAAATATTTAGCTATAATACTATATATTATATTTAAACATTTATTAAAGTTTATAGCATATTTTCATCTCAGTATAAGAATTAGAAAAAAATCAAATTAAATCAAGATTGAAGTCAATTTACACTAGTAGAAGTAAAGATTAGATAATTTTTTACTGATCTTATATTCCAGGCTAACTGCGAAGAAATATATTTTTTACTATTAGTTTAAATATAACAATTTAGAAAATGTATTGTGTTATATAAAATATTTAAAAGACGTCTTTTAGACATAAGATGTCCTTTAGATACCTTATACAACATGTACATATGTTATTTGGGAATAATAATATTTATACATACAAATTATTGAATTTAATTTATTTTTGCATTAATATACTAGTATAGATGCTAAAAATGAAAAAACTTGACTTTGGAAAAAAATATTAAGTAAAAATCAAGTTTCTTAATGTAAAAATCGGTTTTTTTTTTATTAAATGATGTAGGAATCATAAAAAAATCAATAGAATTTATGTTAAATATACATATTATAGAAAAAGATGTAAAATTAATTTTTCTATTTACTGTTAAAATTAGCATCTTCAACCTATATTTCGAGATCAATTATTGAATGACTCAAATTTTTTAATGATACTTTATATACAAACGATTTTATATAAGAATTTAATTTACCTTCGGTTAATTTATTCCGACTAAGATGATATAAAAATGATTAATTATAATTATAATATCTGAATATAACTCACGAACCTTTTCACAAAATTACACTTTAAAATTCATCTTTATATGCGAAATACAAAAATGTTCGAAAATAATTATTCTTGTAATCGGAGTACTTCGCGGTTAAATATATACGAATCATAATACGAGGGAATAGCGATAGCGATAAAAATAACACGATTTCAACCAATCAGAAACTGTATATTCCAGTATACCTGATTTCTGATTGGTTGAAATCGTGTTATTTCTATCTCTATCGCTATTTCTCCGCATCGAGTCCCGCTGAAAGTTCGATTTACATAGAACGCGAGCGCAGGTCGCAAGCTTATGTTGTGACAGCCAATCTAGTGCGTCAATTTTTAAATTGTCAGATTGGCTATCACAAAGCGCTTACTACCCACGTTCTGCGTGTTATGTAGATCGAGTTTAATAGTGCATGAGAAACTAAAACAAACGTTAAAAAAAATGTTTATGAAAGCCTTTTTCATCAATTTCTAATGAAATTAATCGATAACTCGTAGAACAGCAGGCTTAATGTATCAACTGCTTCCTCTTTTGAGACAAACTGTATTTAGTTCTCACGTTGGCAATCGTGATAATTGAGTTAATCATTGATTAGCGTTAATCGGAGTTGGCGAGAGGCCTTTAAGCGTGAAAGCTCAACATTGCAGCGCGCGAGCGTGCAAAGCGAACGCACCTAATGCTCGGTCACCGTGACTGAAAATGCCTGGGTATTGGCTGCGAGAGGACGCCGCGAGCGTCGGTCGAATCGTCGTCGGAGAGAGGCTGATATGCGCGAACGCTCGCAAGCGCCCACAAGCGCCGTAGTAGGCGCAGTATGCCATCGTACATCGAGCGGTGTGGTGTCGTTCTTTTGCGCCGCCGCGAGTGTAAACGGGGGACGGTATTATGAGCTCGCGCGGTATCGCGCCGTGATCTCTCGCCGCCGGAACGGGGAATTATGTTGACTTGGAGAAATGGGTAATTTGGCGACGCTGCTAGTGAAGTTCGGTGCCGCGTTCCTCCTCGCCTGTCACGCGGATTACAGCCTGGCTCAGGACAACGCATCGGGTAAGGGTTCGATTGTAAGGAAGGCTCGCGTTTTCGTGTCTCGTGCGACACAATGCCGCGTCGCGGGCACACGTGGGGCACGCGCCGCGCTGTGTGTGTACACACAGTCGGACGTTTTGTTCGTTGATTACGCGGTCACAGTTTTCGATTTTTCATACATAATTATACTTAAATAATTGTGTACAGTTATACAAAACTGTGTATATGAAATATATATATATGTCCACATGTAATATAAATTATATTTTATTAAATTATATATAATTACACACACTTGAGAAAAATGTGCTAAATTTTAATAAATATTTCTTTGAATAGTGTCAATGGAATATTCACTTACGGTAAATAAATATTTAGGTAATTGAAAAAAAGTGATAGTTGAATCGAACTAATCTAATTCTTTTGTATTTAATAAATATGTGTTTACGTTTAGTAAATATTCAGCAAGCGCTTTTTTTTACGGGAAGAATATCCATCTTGTGGCAGAGCCGTGTACTTACCTCTCATATATAATAATATATAACTATATATAATTACATATAACACGCTATGTGGATAAGAGTAGTTTATATATAATTATATAAAGTTATGTAAGAACTCTAATAGATCATATATAAATATATATATATAAATCGTTATGCATATTTATATATAAATAAAATGAGGAATTTATATGTAATTATACATATAAAATATATATTTAAAAGTTAGATAGCAGTACAAAATTATATACGATTCTGTAATAAATTGTACCTAATTATATATATTTTTATATAATTTTATATAATTTTAATTGTTGTATATAATAATGTATGAACATTTTTGTATCGGGTATGCAGGATTATCGATTACGTTAACAATACAATCGGAATCTTGCATGAAAAAAAAATAAGTCGCAAACGTAAAACAAAATTCCTTCGAAAAGATGAATTTTTTAAATCTATTAATTATTAGATAATGTCTTTTTTAATTTTGGATCGTGTTGTAACTGTTAATAGTCGAGGCATAAATTAAAAGTACATTTTATAAAAAAGAAGGATAATTTTTTTTACAAAATTTTACAAAAGTTAAATCTGTCAACCGCGAGTTATTTGTAAAATATCATGAAATCTTTTTTCTTAAATAGAATCTTTAATAGAATTTTTTTAATAGATCTATTTTCTTAAATATATAATTTATTTTCATATTTATATAAAAGAAGTTTTTTTTAATACTCCGATATGTATTTATGCTAACATAAACTTATCGAAAAAAGTTATTAATTTGAACTCCTTGGAAATAATTCTGTACAACAGAATTTTTTGTCCTATATTTTCGACTTACTCTCTCACGTAGAATTATACATACCATATATCTGTGCCTCCCGATTACGCCATCAATAACAAATCGTAATATTAACGCCTGTCTTGCGTACATCATGCAAGATATTACGTTTTCGTTGTTCGTAAATGATTACGAAGTGATTACGTAGAGACGCATGCGCGAAAACGTATTTATACAATATTTATACACACGCGCGTCGATGTCTAATATTATTTTGTAACAATGTTGCACATAAAGAAAAATGACGCCGATTTCCAGTGCGCGTGATTTGAAAACTGGGCACGTTTTATTTGTTATCGTAATTAACCTTTTAACTACGTCGAGTAAAATGTTTGTGTCTATCTTGCTCTATCTAAATATACGTCGGAACATGTGTTTTGCTCGATGTAAGTTTACCGTCAATGTAAGACGAAGGATCAGTTAATTACTTACATTCGTTAAATATTATTAACGGCTTTTTCTATATGTTCTGTATGAACGCCTGATATGCTATAGGCTTTTTTAAAAATTTACTTGATCAGTAGGTTTTCTTGGAAAATTGTACGATATACGCTATTTCGGAGCAAGTGTCTGGGGCGTAGTATATCTAAAGGGTTCATTAAAGTTGCACGCATGGAGATTAAATTACTATGCTTTATCAACAACTTTGATATTATTTATAATTTTAGGTTGACGGTATACATCTCAGTTTTTAAAAACGATTAACCTCTTTAACTTTCTATTGAGTCTGCCTATTATATATTTTAGAACAGTATAGAAAATATCAATACAATATATGTATAGCATTAATATTCTATCCAAACATACGCAAAAATTTTAATCGAGTTGAATTAAATGACAGTAATTGATAAAAACAAAAAATAAAACGTATACTTAACAACAAAAAGTATGTATGTGGGGTCAAGTGAATGGTAAAATAAGATCGAAGTCAAAATAAAATTTCATACGTTTTATTTCGGTACATTTTTAGCCATTTTCGACATAAAAAGATCTTTAAAATGTCAATAAGTAGAATAAATCCATTGAATTCAAAGAGGGATGAAAAAAGAAATTCCAATCTCGAGAACATTAACAATTAAAGATTGCACAGTCAAAAGGTGTTAATCAAGTTTAATTAATTCAGACATTAAACTCATTTTTTTGCCAAGAACAGCATAGAAGAATTTACTATTCAAGTAAAGTAACTTTTGACTTTCCTATATTAGTAAATTACTTGAATTCCGTCATTGATATCGAAATTCCTTTTGCACTTTTCGCTCCTGACATTTATATAAGAAATAAACGACAATACGAGAAGAATATCAGAGCACTCTGGGATTCCAACCGAGGTCTCCTTCATATTGGTAGACATCAGTCTTTGTCGAGCTACACACAGCCTTGACTCTGATAGCTTCTCTGTTGTGTCTATTTGTTCTAAATTTTTTACAGTAAGTAGTATTATCTTTAATGCGACAGCTTCGTCCTCTTTTAAGCTTTAAATTGCTTCACGGTTTAATTATGCGTGCCTAAATTAAAAGACCTCGCGTCCATAATAATGTTAAAAGTCTGAGTGTACAGCGTTTATGGATCTTTGCCGATTTCATGGTATGTACAAAACGCGCGCACAATAGAAGGAACACGTATAATCATTCTTAAGTCCAAGACACAATGCGAGGGAATACCGATAGCGATAAGTTTCAACTTATCAGAAATTGAATACACCGGAATACACATTTTTGATAGGTTGAAACTTATCGCTATCGCTATTCCCTCGCATTGTGTCTTGGGCTTTATACTTAATAATTCCATCCATTCCATGTACCTACATAAATTCTTTCCAAAATGTGTGAATTTATATATACATTCTGATTATGCATATCGCGTGCTAGATTGTTTTTCCGGATGCAAAATGCATTTATAAGCAGAATTCGTAGTAATATTATTTATTTTAAATTATTATTAAGCAATATTTAACAATGTTTTGATGCTAATAAACACCTTTTAATAAGAATATTTATTGTCATATGTTAATGAAATCTTAAAACTGTGAATAATTTATTGCGAATGTTATTTCCTCGGAATCGAACCCGGATCTCCTGTTTGCCAGCCGGGTGTCCTCACAGTTAGATTATCAAGGCCTTACAATTAGTAATATTCTTCGCAACAACTAGAAGAGAACGTCATATTTCAAGGGAATGTAGGATAAACAATATGAAAGGACTATTAGACACTGATATGAATAAATCAATTTTTAAATAAGAGCAACCCTTTATTCGGTTGAAGCGGACCTTAGTATTTAAATATATACATTTCTTGTGTGAATTTTTATGCATTTGTTTGTTCTATTCTGGTTTGTTCATGAATGCGTTTGAAGTCCAGATGTATATAAATTTATTACACAAGAAATATGTATTTAAATACCAAAATTCGACCGAACATAGAATTCTTCTTATTTAACATTTGATTTATTTATTTCGGTCTAACGTTGCTTCATATAAGTCTTTTAAATGAAATACGATAACATTTTTGATAAAAGAACGAGTTAAAGCCAGATGGACGAGCTTGCGGACGATTTCAGCAACATTTATGCGTTCTCTTGAAAGAGTAGTACGTATCTTTGCGGAGACATTTTTAGAGCGACTGGTTTGTTTATTTCTGCTTTTGTGGTGGCGTTCTCGGTGTGACGGACGCCGCGCTCTTTCCTGAAGGCGAGCACGAAGCGCAGTGGATCGCCGTCGCATCGGCCGGTGGTCGGCATAGCCGTCTCAACCGCTAATTGTTGCACAATGCTCTCTCGCGAGTTCACAGGTGCATTGCACCAGAAATCCTCTCTCCGTACTCGCTGCTTACCTTCTCCCGTACTCGCGCCACTCAATGGCGTAGAGAGTGCTATCCTAGAAAAGGAAATGTGAAACCATTGGGTGTTTTCTATTATATTTGGCGAGACACAAGTCGACACGTGTCGTTCTGTATTTGTTACTCACTGAAATGCGAAGATAGAGCTTATTGTGTTAACTTGTGTCACCAAATGCAAAACAAAGCTGAAAAATGAATGAAGCTGAAGCGAGAGTAGCTTGACATTATTTAGGACATTTAGGTGACTCTGACCGAGATTATTTCAAAGGGAAACTTTTAGCAGAGTTTTCTAATACCTGGTTTATGCTTCAGGTCTTAATCCCAAGATCCTAAAATTCAACCAATAAAGCTGCCAGTTCTAACCGAAATTTGAGCTCTATTGGCTGAATTTTAGGATTAAGACCTTAAGACCGAAGCATAAACCAGGCATAAAACTTTACGACCATTAAAAATATCGTTTTCGAAAGGAATATATTTAAATACTTATTTGTTATCGTTTTCGAAAGGAATATATTTAAATACTTATTTGTATATGTATAGCCAGAATATTCTTAAAATGATAATAATGAGTATAAACGGTGTCTACACAATAATATTTTAAAGCGTAAATCTTAAGCTTAAGCCCTAAAAGTCGTAAGAAATTGACTAATCGCAATCGAATGTGAGGTGTGAGGAGAACAATCGACTATAATTGGTCAATTTCTTACGGCTTAAAAGCTTAAGTTTCACGCCTTAAAATCTCATTGTACACTGCTCAAGAACCGGTTAAAATTACATCCGCAAACATCGACGGGGTATAGAATGTTTTGTATCAGTGACGGTGAATAGCAGATCGTTTGAAA